CAGCCACTCGTGAAGATCTTGCTTTCGCCGTTCTTGCACCTCCCCTCATGACCCGGTGGCCAACGGATCGCTTACATAGAGGGAGTGCCTGGTAGCTTGGAACGGAACTCACCTGGAAGCGCAGTGACCCACAGAGTCGCCAGCATCCAGTAGCCGCGGAGAGCCAGGGACCCGAACAGCAACATGGTGCACGCAACCCGCCGCACCCCAGCGGTGCGAGAGAGACCGGCGCCACGCCCAGCAGCTGGTGCTCCGAGATCCCCGCGTGCCCACAGGCACCCCTCTCTGTATGCAGGTCTTCTTGGCAGATGCCTCACAGCTCTGGCATCGTGAACTTCTTGGGGTCTCCATTGCCAACCAGGCTTCACCTTCACAGCTTCACACAATGGCCTATTAGGGCCTTCTCTATGCAGAGGAACCCCTGCTGCATGCTGCCTGGCCTCCAAGGCTCTCTGAAACTATGGAGGAAGAACTGATGACCCCTTCACTCTTCCATCTTTCATGCCTCTAAAGCCAGCACCAGGTGAATGACACTGCCAAGTTTGACTGCAAGTTTGGGATGGACTCCAGCCTGCTTTATACATTTTAGAAGCTTTTCTCTTCAGTGGTCCCTGCAGCATTTTCCTTTCACAAGTGGGAGGCTTAACTGGGTGTGGTCTTGCCCTGGAGGCACTCTCTCCATTGTTTAAGTAGGAATCTCTGGGCCCCTCCTTAATCATTCTAATCTCCTTATCAAAGGGATCCTCTCCAGCACATGCCAGGGCTCCAACATTAATCTTCCTAGTGCTCTTGCTCAATCCATCCTGTACATTCTGTATTTCTTTCTGCCCCATTTGATCTTTTTCACTGTAAATGTGTATAACATTCACCATTAATAGAAATGCCAACATTTCTACGTTATGCTGTCTTGAAATTTCTGCCTCCAGAGAAATTAGTCCATGGCTTTTCAACTTAGCCTCAGGCAAGCTTTTTGGCCACAGGCAGTCTCCAGCCAGACTCTTTGCCAAACTATCCCAGTGCTGCTTAAGTCTTTATTTCCCTCTGGAACTACACTGTTCTCAGCATTACTTTCTTCCAGGCATTTACTAGAATGGCCTGTTAAGCTCTGCTTAAAGAAATCAACTTCTTTTCTAGCCCAAGCTTCCAAAGTCTTCTACGTTCTTCCAAAATCCCACATGGTCAGGTTCTTCAAAGCCAATAGCCCACTCTCTGGTACCAATTACTGTATTAGTAACTTTTCTGTTGCTGTGATAGAAACACTGACCAGAGCAACTTATGAAAGGAAGAATTTATTTGAGCTTACAATTCCAGGGGAATTACAGTCCATCTTGGTGGGGAGACATGGCAACACAGGTGGCTGGAGGAGGAGCAGAAGCTAAGCTCTACATCTTCAAGTAGGCACAGGAAACAACAGAGCAACTGAAGATCTGGCAAGGCTTAAGAACTCTCTAAGCCCATCCCCAGTGACATGCTTCATCCAGGATAGCCACACCTAAGACTTCCCAAAACAGCCCTTCTGAGGACAAAATATTCAAATACTTGGAGCCTATGGGTGGACATTAGTCCATGGCTTTTCAACTTAGACTCCAACAACCACACCTTCCCATCTACTTTTTTGAAGGTCTGATTTGTTCTTGTTTTTCCAAAGATTTAAGGTGCATTATTAAGTTATTAATTTGTGAACTCTCAATTTTTTTGTTTGGTTAGTTTATTGAAACAGGGTCTCCCCATAGTCCTAGCAGGCCTGGAACTCACTGTGTAGACTGGGCTGTCCTTGATTGCACAGAGATCCACCTGCCTTTGCCTCCTGAGTGCTGGGATTAAAGGCGTTCACCACCACACCAGGTCATCTCTAAAATTTTTTCATGTAGACACTTAGTGCTACATAGATTTTTAATGTTGTGTTTTCATTTTTATTCACCTCTAGGACCTTTTAATTTCCTTAATTTCTTCAATGACTGAGATATTCAATAGTGTGTTGCTTAGTCTCCATGAGTTCACATACTTTTCTGTAATTTTTATTGCTGTTGATATCTAGCTTTATTCAGCTATGGTCAGATAGATTACACTATGTCATTTCAGTTTTCTTGTATTCCTTGAGACTTGCTTATGTCTAATATGTGACCAATTTTGGAGAAGGCTCCATGGGCTGCTGAGAAGAATATGTATTCTTTATTGCTTGGGAAGAATTTTCTGGAGATATCTCTGAGGGCTATCTCTTTGCATTAATGACTCCATCACCAAAGCTCAGGGAACATTGCAGAGAGGAAGCAGGAAGAATTTAAGAGCAGAAAGATGGGGAGGAGAGCTGTGAATGCTGTCATCTGGACATGACAGGGTGATCACAATCATGAACCAATGGCAGCTATGGTTACCTGCATACAACCTATACAAGATGAAACCAGCCAAAATCCCAGCATAGACAGGGTAGGTGATCACTAAGCTCCACCCCTTACTGAAGAGCTATTAGCACTGGATAGTTGCCAGAGGGAGAGAATCACTCTCTTTTAAGAATGTGGCCTTGCAGGTTTCCCATGGTCCAGTGAATGACCCCACACTCATGTACATATGGGCTGCACTGCTAACTGGACTTAGTGGGTTATCAAAATTTTTTTTAAAAAGTAATTTGGATTGGAGGGAGTAGTTGGAGGGAGTGGTTGGAGGGAGGAAATGAGGTGTGCATAGAATCATATATCACTATACACATGCATGAAATTCTAATAAGTAAAATTTTAAGGTAAGGACTTTAAATTTTCTTTCTGGGTACAGAGAACTGGGAGGATGCTTTCAGAATACATGTTCCTTTTCAGCATCTTGGAGATATTTGCATCAGCTTTAGCAACAGAGTGGATATACCAAGCACAATATGAAAATTGAAACAGTGAGTTTATCATTTCTACCTTGATGAATGGAAGCTGTAGGTGTCTATGATGTGCCCTGTTTAAATCACTAATGGTTTTTTTTGTTGTTTTTTTTTAAGTCTTTTTTCAGACAGGGTCTCCCCAGTAGCCCCAGCTGGCCTGGAACTCACTACGTAGACCAGGTTGGCCTCAAACTCACAGAGATCCACCTGCCTCTACCTCCTGAGTTCTGGGACTAAAGGCGTGCTCTACCACACCCGGCCTAAATCACTAACATTTTAAAAAGAATTAAGCATTGGTAGTATCATCTCTAACACTGTGATTGTAGGTAGATGGAAACACAATATCTATTGTGCAGTAAATGGCTCTCTATTCAATTTCCCTGTGTAAAGTAAGTGAGGCTGAAGATGCAGCTCAGCACTAGGGCACTTGCCTAGCGTTGGTGAGACCCTCAGTTTGGTCTCCAGATGAAACACAAGAAAAAGAGGGGAGCAACGTGGGATAGAGGATGGCTGTAGAGACACAGGTGCTGGGTTTCATCCTCGACACTGCAAGACAAAATTGATACACATCTACAGGACATTTCTGTCTTTCACACTCATAAGTGACTATGGTAAAGAATGTCTCAATCTCTGTTAAATTCACCACACAAACAAACATGAAAGCATGGTCTCTACCCAGAGATATGGGAATGCTGGTCTTAAACTTTGAGTCCTCAAAGTGTTCTAGAACAAACTGAGTATCTAAGTGCAGGAACTTCAGTTTTTTCAGGAATGAAAATTTTTTGAGTAGCTGATGAGTTGGAGAATCTGGTGAAGACTTTTTCTAAAAACAGCACTTACTTCTCGCCCACACCTGTCCTTTATGTCAAAGGCCAACTTCATTTCCCTTGAACTACATCATCAGTCAATCAGAAAGTGTTAGTGAAAGGTATCTCCCTTTTTTGTCCCAGTGGCTGTTCCTCAGGCTCAAGCTTTTGGATCAATGAGGTTATAAGGAAGCACCCCATGCCACATGAAGGAGACAGTGGTTTGCCTGTAGAACCTAGGCCCTATGCATAGGGAGGCTTAGGAAAACAGTTCTCACCCTTTTAATCAGGTCCTAATCTCACAAATTAGGCCTCAAACTGAGCTTTTTTGGCCCAGGCCTTCCTCACTAAATTTTCTTTAGCTAAAGTAGTGAAATACAGAGTTGAAGTTCTTCTGGAAACCTCGTATTTGTCACCTTAAAAATACATATCTCTACTTAAACACAAAGTCACAAAATATACATGTCTCATTCCTAATACTCTGAACAAAATGAAAAGAGGGAGAACACAGATTCAGTATTTAATAACATACAGTTTTCCATTCATATTAAATAAAATTTAAATGGAGCATGGAGAAAAATCTAGAAGAAAAGAGAAGGGATTAGGAAAAGGAGAGGAAAGGAAGGGCAGGAGGGAAGGAGAGAAGAAAACCAAAAATGATTTTTAAAAATGCTTTGGATTGGGGAGTGGATCTCAGAAGTAGAACTCTTAGGACCAAGCACAAGGCCATGGGTTCCAGCACCAGTGCGAAAAATAAACAAAACAAAAGCTTACAGTTTTAGGTAAGACTCTGGATGATAAAACTACTCCTCTTAAATTTCTTTCCAAAATGTTACTGAAATTGTGTAGTTCTTTCTCATAGTGTACATCAATGACTAATTTCCCAATGCCCAACTTCCCCCAGATTTGTAGCAGAATGGGATCTTTTCCTGTGTGTTAAAGGATCATCATGAGCTCAGTCAAGGAGAAAGTCCAGTACTAAATGAAGAACATCAT